TTAAACAGTCTTTGCCTCCTGTGTGTTTTGAGTACAGTGTATCATTCTTGATTCCTTTTTTCCTACCCATTAACCCCAACAAAAGCCAGTAGAAACACAGAAGATCACTTGTTTGATTCTCATTGCTTTCACCTGATGATCACTGATAAAATTATCAGATAGTGTAATGTTACACTGCTGGCAAAATATAAGCAGTGAACTGCAATACACAGATAAGTAAATGCACTACTGTAAAGCAAAATAAGAACTTCACTGTTCAGTAGTAGCAAGCAGAGAGAAATAGGACCTTTTAGTGTGTGGAATCTGATACACGTTTCTGGGTGTTCTGTAAACCATCCCACACTGAATTCTTCATCTAGACAATAAGGCTAAGAATTTGAGATGTCATCCTCTTATTGAGAGATGTCCAAAAAAGGGTTGTGCCAAATAAATTTGAACTGTAACAAAACAGGATGAAAAGTAGTCAAAGACTTCCTTGTCTATGTTCTGAATAGTAAGGAGAAGCAGTTGCTTTAAAGCCTTTAGAGATAAGTTTTGAAAATGCTTCTGCATATCACATCAGCCTCAACATTTTATAGAGAAGTGTAACATTGTATAAAATATCTGACATGCTCATGTTGGCTAATTTTAAACAGCTGTATATATGATGATTTGATGTTGCTGTTAGAATGTAGTGAGATTAGGAAACCCAATAGTTTTTGGCTACTTCTTTCATACTTTGTCTGCCAAAAGAAAAGAATGAAATGCTTGTTGGAGCCAAAGGCTTGCCTCAGGTGTGGTGATATATCCTTGAAAGCTGCTCTCTACCTCTGATGCAAATTAGTCCATTCCTCTGACCAAATTCTTCGCTGATAAATTGTTGATAAACTTTTCTTCATTTCACTAAAATAAATATATTAAGACATTTTAAGGAAGAGATTTGAAGTTTTCTGAGTGATGAAACAAGGGCCTGGCCTTCACCAGAGAAAGAGTCTTCAAACAGATCTTGAAGGACCTCAGGACTCAGTTGCTGTCATTATCTCATTTTGATTTCTTCATGGATCCCAACCAATATGTGATGAAGTTCTAGTATGTATGGACTAGTACAATTGATGAAGTAGATGAACTTTTTGCTGAAACTTGGGTACTTCAATAGTGAAGTATTGTGAAGGCTTAAGTTGCATTTAACAAGTTCAGTAGCAATCAGTGTTTGCATGAAGAATAATTCAGAGCTCAAAAGTTTCTGATGCTTGCAGTTTGATAACTTACCATCAGTAACTTACCTGTCACTAGAGTTTGTAACAGGAGATACTCTGCTCCTTGAAAGCTGAGTTTTAATTTTTTAAGAATTATTAATTTTAAAAGTCCAAGGTAGGAGTTTTGTGGATTTTACTGACCTGTAGGGCAGTTTTTCATAAAAGTAGTGGGGAAGTGAAAAATTTGGGATTTTTTTTGAAATTAAATAAAAATAAAACTTATACAGAGGTAAGGTTGGCTTGTCTGTAATTATCTGTAATTCTTCAGGCTTTTCATCAGTATTAACTTTCTCATTCCCCAGTCCTCACTTTGCATGCCCACTTCAAAAATTAGTGATACATTATTTTAATTCGGGGCTACTATTTTGAGAAGACCTAGTCCCAATATAGAGATGCATGAATCAATTTCATCTTCCAGAGACTTTTGTCACCTGTCTGCCTTTTGTTATCTTTCCAGTTTCTCATTCTGAGAATGTGTCGTATGAAAACTGCCTTAAACTCTGAATACCCTTCTTGTCTCTTTTTTTTCTTCTTACTACTACAGTTACTAAGAAACTGAAGCACCCTTGCATCCTCCAAAATCTTTGTTCTCCCACTTTTCTTCCCTGAATAGTTTCAGGGAAGGAATTTCTTTCTCTCAATAGTTTCTTGGGACTTTACACAGCCTGATTGCTGAGTTAGGTCAGTATGAAATATAAAGACAATGCTGTATTTTAGAGACAAACTGAAATAGCATCCCTAGTCCACCAATCCTCTATTCTGCATTTCCACATAAACAGGCCAGAAGCGTAAATAGATTACAGTGCTTCTTCCACAGGCTGATGTGGAAACCCAGCTTCTATGTAGCTGTTTAAGAAGCCTTCCTTCTGTTTTGTCTTGTCTTAATGAAATGTAACTTGGAGACCATAGAATTACTTCAGCCCTACCAGTGTCAGCAGCCTGTATTGTATCTGGCTGACTGTCAGCTATATCATAATGTTGGTGATCAATTAGCCCCAGGTTCCCATAGGGCACTTCCTATACACAGTCTTGTGATGGAAATGATGGAAGTAGGGTGAAAGAAAAGGGTATTGCCTGTTGTTTTCTTCTTGACACAACCCAGCTCAGTGTGTGTGCCAATTTTTACCCTTGTAGCAGGGTAGACCCTGTAGGGTTTCATGATTAATATTGCTCTGTACATCTGTGAAATAAAAAATAACAATAAATTCAGAATGGAAGGGACTTCTAAGTGTCATCCAATCTAACCCCCTTCACAAAGCACAAAGTATGAACTGTGAAATTTTTCCCATTGAAGAGGTGCATGGTCTTATTAGTTCCTTCAGTGAAGCAGTTCTGCTTTTTCTGTTGTATTTTTGCAGGATTTTCCTAAATACTTAGATACATACGGAGGAATAAGAACTCATTTATTTATTTATTTATTTATTTACTTACTTACTTTACTTACTTACTTATATTGCATTTCACCACTATCATTGCAGACGTAATTAAAGAGAACAAACTAATTTCAGTTCTGGCTCTCACTGTTTCAGTGGAGGTTATAGACTCCAGAAAGTGGTCAAAATTATTTGAAGGCTCTTTTTGGAAAGCAAGTGTGTGGTAGATAGTTGATCTTTCCCTATAATCTTTGAAGACAGCTGGTGTCAGTTACCTGTTTTACTTCTGTTTGCTTCAAATGAAGCAGTGGTTTGAAAGACTAATTTATGTGCTTCTGAATGACTTAGAGAAAATTTAAATGTATTGTCATTGAAACTTCTTAGCTGTTGGTTGCTTCTAGTCTGAATCAGTCTATTTTGAGAGTGACATTCAAGACCGATTTTTGCAGAGCTAACAGTCCAAGGCTTCTCCCTCCCCTCCCTTGCAGCCTGCCCTAAATGAACAGGTATGATTTGAGCCATAAATCCAAGCTGACCTTTTTACAAGGTCAGTTTCATGACAGAGCTGTGCATAATAGTCTGCTTTAAACTCCTCTGCTTTCAAAGAAACTTTGATACATAAGGATTTTTTTTTTTGTTAGAGAAATGTAAAATCTACTCATAATTCAGAAATATGTGTTTATACAAGAGAATAAATATTTTTTATGTTTATTTTTGCTTCTCCCCAACTGAAAAAAAGGTCTAATTTTCAGTAAGAAATATATTTGTAGTGAAAGCTGTGCCTGTTTCAAGGGCAAGCTAAACTTCAGGACTTAGGGTGAGGTACTGTCAACTAGACACAGATCTTTTTGCAAACATGGAGTTACACAGAGTAGGGTAAAAAATGCTGGAGAATTTTAATACAAGTATTAAAATATCCCAAATACCATTATATACATTTGGAAAAGTCAGTTACAGCACAATTTTATGGAAAGGCATTTTTTTTTTACATTTAGTAAATATTTTCCTTTTTTGACGAAGAAATTTTTTCAGTATTTTTGTTACTCAGGCCATAATGGATAGTATAAAAAATTGTTCTTTTTTTCTGCTGTTGTTTATGAAGTCACAAATATCTCTTACCTGGTATGAAAGGTATGCAAAGAACAGAAAGAAGGTGTTTGCAGATTATCATGAACTGAAGCCAGTTGACATATCTTACTGCAATTGGTGAGAATCGGTCAGCTGACAATAGACAAAGATTATTCCATATGGGTCTCATATTCATTTAATGTCTGTCGAGTTCCACCTATACAAGACCTTGTGTCTGTTGGTTGGTGTAGGCTACGGCCTACCAGGCAAGGCAGTATTTCAGCTCATTGCTGCAAGTTTCTTTCAGAGAGGAAAAAAATAGCTTTGATTTAGCATGTTTCTCCAACAGGTAGAAAACTAGCCCTTCAGACGCAGAGCTATTGGTCCAGTGGTTCTAACAACAGGATCTCCTGCAACTGACAACACTTTATTAATCATGTGTTAAAGATTAGTTATCTTACCTGAAACTAAAGTTTCAGTAAATTGTCGCAGGAGCAGAGGAGAGTTTGGGAAGTGGCAAGTGTGAGTGACCAATACTAGCCGTTCTTCTGCTTTCTGAAGAAATAATGCTATTCAATCAATATATTTGGTGCAGTTTTTTCTTTAATAATTTTGAAGCTGTAGGGTAGACTGTTTCCATTTGCTTACAGAATTCATTAATTGTTAATAAGTTTGCTGTAGGAGCGTAATTTTGTTGTTGCCGTATTTTTTCCTGGGCATGATCCAAAAATGTCTGAAGTTCTCTAATTAATCTGAATGAGTATTGGGTCAGGCACCATAGTGAGTTGTTAGCTTTGTGTAAAATGCTTATTTTCATTTGATTTTAATAATTCCTTGCAGAATATTTTGTTTCGTTGGCAACATGTAGCTTGGTGATACAAATGAAATTAACATTTATTTGTATGATTTAATGACTTGCCAAAAAAATCCATTAACAAAGCAAAGTTTTAGTCATTGGTGTTTGCAACCATGTGTTAGATCCATGACGGTTTGTCTGACATCTGATTTCTTAGACTCATAATTACTGTTGTCAGTATTGAATCACAGAATTGTTCAGGTTGGAAGGGATCTTAAAGACACCTCATTCCAGCCCCTTCCCCTGCCATGGCAGAGACACCTACCACTAGACCAGGTTGCTCAAAGACCTGTCCAACCTGGCCTTGCACGCTTCCAGAGATGGGGCATTATATTCTGGATGGCATTGTCTTCTACAATTCTAAAAATGGAGCACCTGAGACTTTATTTGGTATAATGAATAACTTTTTTCTTTTTTCTTTTTTTTTTTTTTTTATATAATTAAACAGGTACAACAAGCAGATAAGCAATGTGCACTGCCCTGAGCCCGAAGGCACGTGGGCCTGGCCTGTCTGACATGCATCAATATAGTCAATGGCTTGCAAGTAGACATGAGGCCAACTTGCTGCCAATGAAAGAGGATTTGGCCCTGTGGCTCACAAACCTGCTGGGTAAGGTACAATAAGATGGAATGCAGATGCTGGGCAGTATGAGAACTCCTTACACTGGGAATTCAGATTTCTTTGTGTTTCAAAAATCAAGTTATGATTACGTAGCTACCGCCATATAGCACAAACATTAGCAAGGTCAGAAAAGCTAATGAGAGATTTGCCTCCATTGTGTTTCTATGAGGAGCATAAATGAACATTATACAGTCTGTATTTAGTTTTCTTTCAAATTTCCTTTTAATTATTTTTTTTTTCACATGTTTTCTGTACTTATACCATTAAGCTGAATGGTTCCAATTGCTGTCTTCACCTGTGTTTTCCATAGCCTCCTAAGGAGTACAGTGTACTGACTGTCTTGAACAGAAAGAACCATTAAATAGTTTTTCTCTGACCAAACAGTCTAGTAATTGATAACTGCTGCCCAAGGCAATGCATGCTAAGACTTATGGTAGCCTGTGCATAGAGGGATTTGACCTAGCATAGCTGGGACATGGGGATTTACTGGTTGCAGCTGTACATCTTGGTGTATGAAGACAAAGCTTGTTGTTGTCAGAAGAGGATGCAAACCAAAACTGAGGAAAAAGATCAGGTACATACGGAAAAGAGCAAATGAGGTTGTCCCTGGCAGAAAGGAGAGGCAATACTTTGAGATGTATAAATTATTGAAGAAGGCAGAATTTAGAAACTATGAGCCAGGAAATAGTATGATGTTTGCTGTGAACACTCAGGGAAAAATGGCTCTTGTGTGATCTCTGTAGATACAGAGGGTACTACCAAAGAAATAGATGACTTAAATAATACTTCATTCTAAGGGAGACATGCAAGTAATTCCTCTCATTAAATAAAGAGAAGAAAAATATTTCAGAAGTATGTTTATATGAAACTTTAGTTGATGGGATTTTGGAGGAATATTTGGATGTGCACTTTTAAATTTGGAGGATTTATTTAATTTTTAAAAAACTTTTCTGAAAATCTATTCTGTTGAGACATGGGCAGTGTCTTGTCATGGCAAATGCTGTAGTTAAACCATCTCAATGATATTATACAATAAAAGAGTATAACAGTATATCGATATAACAGTGTCTTTCATCAGCATAATCTATATTGGTCTATTTCCTCATTTTTAAGAGAAAGAGAAGGAAATATCACTTATGACAGATCTGGTGAATAAGCACAGTGTCAATAGAACACAGTATTTTGCAGGTAGACAATACCCAGTTTTGAGTTGAGTTATGAATCCACAACTGCAAAAGTGGCAAGTCTTTTAAGTGACATATTTGTGTGGTACTCCCATTTAAATGAATGTGTTTTGAATATAAAATTTTCTATGCAAAACCAGAGCAAAATTCAGAAACATTTCATTCCAATTACCACAAGACAGTTCTCCAAGTGACTGTTTTTTGAATTGGAGGCAGCACATTCCATTAAGGATTCAATATATTGCTTAAATGGTTTAAACAATGAAGTTTTAGTGAAAAACAAATAGAAGCTTGTTTGCAGTTTGTAACAGCGTTCTCCCAGTGATAAGTTTAGGAATGAGGTCACTCTTTGAGCAAGAAAGTAACAACCAGCAGGAGGTTCCGAAATGCCAACTGTAATTAAATATCTGATTTTTCATATGGACAACAAGTTCTCCACTGCAGAAATAAATGGGCACAACCTTCTTTTAATTAAGCAGTGTATACAGTTCATTTGCTTAATGCATTCCCCCACACCTTCTTGCACCAAGCTCTCATTTTCTCAGAGTTTGTGGTGCTGAATTGAATCTATCCTATATAATTAAAATCAATAATTCAATTAAGTTAAAATTCACATTCAAAATAAATTGTGAATTGAAATAATTATTATTCATAAGAGTATATTAACTGAGAATTCAAACTTTAATTACTGCATAATTTGGACAAACTTTAAATAGAGAAGGGATGTGTGAGCATGCTCCTCTATAATAAAATAGAAATGAATATACAGAATGCATTCTTCAGCATCCAAAAGGATAGAAGATATAGAAAGCTTTTTTTGTTTGTTTTGGGCTTTTTCCCCTCTAAGTGGAAGATATAATGTATTTTGCATTAATGGTCAGTAGATCTTTACATGCACTGATGTGCAAGTAACATGGATCAGATAATACTGTGTGCATCCACATCCTAGCTTGCTCTGTCTGTATCTTGTGTGGCTTCATTGTAAGTGGCCTTATGGAATTTTTTATGCAAAAAGATTTCTCAATTTATAAAGGAAATTAATATGCATTTCATTTAACTTTTGCCATTTTGGTTCATGCTTTGTTTCATCTATATTTTTGCCATTCATCTGTACTAGGACTCAAAAAGGACACATAATCTTTTCAAAGAAATACAGATTTTTAAAAAAATAGTATTTTAGGTGAGTATAGGGCTGAAACTCTTTGAGGTAGTTTGATCAAGTGATGGTGTTTTAGGAGATTTTTGTCTCATAATTGTCATACAATAATGAGATATTTGTCTGATAATTGTCATACAATTATGTTCTATAAAGTGTTACTGGGGGTTGAAATGGTGATGGTTTTGCAGCAGCATAGCATGATGTGGGTTCAAAATCAAACTGGAAAACATTATTGGGACATGGCACTTTATAATATGAATGAAGTATTTTGATATCAGATAGAAAGTAGGCATAGCTAGAATTTGACCTTACCCAACTGATAAATTAGAAAAGTGAGATACATGGTGCAGCTGGAATAACATTGAAAGAATTTTAAATCCTGAGACTTTGGATATTTAATTTAGCATGGACACTGTTGTGGGTTCTTTTTTGTTTAGTAATCACTAGTACTTTTGTGTGCGCTTTGCTAATTATTTTTGGAATCATATCAGAGAAACCCAGGTCTTCTGAGAGGACAGTTTGTCATTACAGCTCCATTGCTGAATATATTTTAGCTGTCTACGCTCTGGGGGATGGAAAACGGGCATTGCAGATGAAATCCATGTGTCAGATTGGATTAACTCATAAATATTGTACATTAGAACATTTTTGATGTGGAACATGTCAGTGTTGTGGTTTGTCTGTTGGAAAGGAAGATTGTAGCTATAGATGTTGTATCTCCTGTCTTTGCTTCTCTCTGTTGAGCTTTGGTGTCTCAGTCAAATGACTGTGACAAAGCTAATGAGGTATGTTAACCTAGCTGACTTGCAAGTCATGATGATCTCTTAGTCTTGTTTCTATTAGGTACAGAGCCAATGAAGCATTTGGGAATGTTTTCACTGCTGACAAGCTCCAAATTTGATAGTGTATATACTTACTTTAATAGAATGTTCTTCAGGATACTGAAAAGTTCTGTTCTACTCTGAGCAAGCTGCATATGGGAATTAGCACACATTAGAACTCTTCTAGAAGAGGCAAAATGGCAGTTTGAAAGGTTTGCTTGTCTGCTTTACTCTCTAGTATTTTCTTGATTTTTTGTGTGTCTGCAGAAGCTAAATGGCTGACATGAGGAGGAGTGGGCCTCCTCACCAGCCTGTAGCTTAGGATAGGTAGAGAGAGATGATTTCCCTGTTTCCTCTTTGGTAGTTTTGTGGACTTGTAATATTTTTCCCCATTCCCAGAGTTTATTTACAAGCTGTAGAGGGTTATATTGTCTTTTTATTCTATCCAGCTATATTTAGCACATACGACTTACTACATCTCAGGCTGGTCTCCAAGATTTCAGTCCTGAGACCTCTTCTTAACAGCAAGAGGGCTTTAGAAGCTCAGAGCTGAGAGGGCAGGGAATGCAAGATGCTGAGGAATTTGACTTGTAAACATTGAATATTGTTTGATGCATGTAAAAGGTGCTTGGGTGCAAAAGTGAAGAAGGCTTGGAGAAAAGGAACAGAAGTGAGGATGTTAGGAGAGGCATCAAGTTGAAGACAAGGCTAGGTATTTGAAAGTTTGTTGAAGGAGTTGTAAAGTTTGAGGTTGAAAAATGGTGAGTCTTCTGCAAGGAAGCTTGTCACGGTTGTTGGAGACAGGCATGCAACTGAACACACCAAAATTCATGTGACAACAGTCAAAGTTTATTGATGGGCATCCCCTTTTATAGGGGCTTCAAATATCCCATGCTTACACATCTGATTGGTTGGGGTCTTAACACCGCCTAGCTCACTGGCCAATTAGATATCTGCATTCATGATTGAGTGGGATTGGCTGGGGCCCCCTGTGTGAGTTTGAATCCAACCTATCATTGCCTCACTTGGGGACTTGTTTACTTCTGTAACAAACTAGGCTGGTCAAATTGGTGTCTGTTACAGCCAATTTTATCTGTGCAGCTACAGACCGGCTGTAGCTGTCACAAAAGCTGTCTTTCTTTGATTTTGAATGAAATCTGTGTCAGCTTAGTGTTCTTGCTCACCTTATTGCCTAAGAGCATTCTATAACAGAAAGTGTATTTTCAACATCGGTTTGTTCTGGCTGAGCCAGTGGGAAATTCAGGTTTTAAATGTCTGAGTATCAAGATATTCACAGTACTGATACCTCTAGTGATTATGCTGGCAGTGATACAGTTTCCTACTTAGTTGAGTTGCTTTATACTTTTCTTTATTATCAGCATGCCTTTAGAATTTTTTATATGTTCCATTTCAAGTAAGTAATAATGTCTCAATGCTTTCAGACTTATTTCAGGTATTGTCAACTATTGTAGGGAACAGAGTAGCCTTGTCAGAATAGAACCAGTTTTGTATATACATAGTAATTTGCCTTGGTTTTCTTTATTTTTATCACATTTTGTTTTCTTGGGTTTATATGCCATGTGAATTGAGGGGGTCAGGAATAATTGTTTCAGTAGTGCCTCAGTACTGTAGATGTTTCAGAGATTCACTTGAGTGAAATATTTCTATTTGTTAACTACTAGTTTTTTGTTACTGCACAAAATGTACAATTAAAATAGTCCATCAGCAAGTTGTGAGGATGGAGTCAGTCTTGTACTGAGTTATTATGAGTATAGTTATTATACCAAGCATAATAGAGGTATAAACTAGATTTGGGTACTTGGGTCTTTCAGTCCCTCTCTTCTTCTGAAGGCTCTTGTTGTCTGAGACCTGTATGGAAAACTTATCTTCAATCTCTTGGGCACACACCCAAGGCATGAACTCTCTTCCATTATTTTTTCATGGACCTCCAGTCTGGTTTTATTAGGTCCCCCAGGACCTTACAGACAGTTGCTCACAGTTTGCAAGTGTAGGTGTTCAGGTGAAGCTGTTTGACTTTTTAAGGGGAATCTGGTGGTTGTGGTAAAAGAGAGGGTAGGTAGTACTTGAGAGGTTTCCAAAAGCCTTCATATTCCTGGATTTTCTCATACTTTCGGTGTTGTTTTTTTATTATACTTAATGTTATTACCATTCTATAAAAACATTGCAACTGCTTTCTTGTAATTATAGGGGGAATTGTACATTTTTAATGGAGTTTGATGTTTTTTCCATACAAATAAATGGAGCAATTTTTTTCCTCAGGTTATGAACATTACTCTTACTTGAATCAATGCATTTCTACTGTTAAATATGTCAGCGTGTCTGTTTTAGAAAAGAAGTGCCACCTTATGAAGCCATAAAATACAGTGAATTGAAAGCTGACACCTAATATACTTTTCATTGGAGACAGATGTTCAGTGCAAAACTCATTCTTTCAGATTTCATAAAGGCGAACAGAACTCAAATAATCCAGTTTAGTGATAATATGTAGTGACCAAACTGCTAAAGTAATTCAGCACTTAAAATAATACAAGTGTAATGTTAAATAGCAGAAGAAGATAACCTAATTTTTCTATATATTTGTAAAAAGAAAATATCCTTAAATCAGTTTTCAGGGTTTTATAGCATTCAATTATTATGAAATGATGCATCTATGAATCATAGGACATAAGAACTATGTAGAACATGGGGGGGGGTGTTTGTTTGCCTTTGTGAAAAATTATGTTTTGCAAATTAAATAAAACTTTTTAGTCTGTTAAATATACTTGAAATAATTTTTTAGAGGAAAATGAGTGTATAAAAAGTAATACTCAAGCAGTTCCTGTAGCGTAGTTATTTCTAACATTTAGCTTCTAGTGGCTTTAGAGCATTTAATAAAAATGCTGATGGGGAAAATGGAAAAATATGTAGGTTAGAATGCTGGCAAAGTCTTTTGAGATGCTGAGCTGTTCAGTTTTTTTTTTTTTTTATGTCTGGGCTATTATAGTTTCAGTCCTGGCTTAATTTGATCTGGAGATATGGCAAAAGTATTATCAGTTAGGCATAAGCTAACTCTGCATGTCTGCAGTGCTACTGCTGCTCTTTTGCTTGGAGAAGTCATTTATGTATACAGGAGCACTAAAGTGGGCTACATGGCAAGTAGAATTAAGTGGGAATAAAAAAAGGGAAAATCTTTGTGTTAAAAACATATTTCTGAAGTAAAAGTGTGTTAGAAAAAGCAAGTTTAGCTTCAGTGAAAAATAGAAATCTGCTCTGTCTAAAGATGGTATGCTGCAAAAATCTTTATCAATCTTTATCTTAACTTACCAAACTGAAAAGATTCACATTTTAGGTTTTGGACAAAAGATGCTAAAGTATCTCAGAGTTTTCAGACAAGGGCCTAGAGAAATCAGCTTTCCTATAGCGTTTTTAAAATCCTACTGCTTTATAATGTTGCTATCTTCAGTATTGTGACATGGAGTATTGGGTTACAATGTATCAGCAAGAAGTTCAGTACAAATTTATGCGCTTCATTTTTGTTACTTTTGAATGTTGTTTTCCTCTTCTTTTAGCAAAAAGATAGTGGAAAGCTTTACTTTTCCTGTTTTTGACAAAAAAATTGCAGTAAACCTATTCTAAACAGACTAATATTTCCAATTTCATGGAAGCAGGAGTGGACCTGGATGGGATGAGGAACCGGTCTCACTTCAGTTTTTGAATATTTTTCTTTTTATTTTGACACATAAGACAATTGTTGCTAATGCATGTTGTGTAATAATCTATGAAAAAATTAAATTATTTTAATTTTTATTTAATTTAATTTAAAGTTAATTGTGTTATTTCCTGAATGGCATATGTAAATACTGGGGCAGGGGGGAAATAATTCCTCTCTTAACTGGAAGAACAAGAATTATTCTTTGATGTTCTCTTGATATCAGTGGAAGTTAAAGGGGCTGAAAAATACAGCTGTTCATCTACGCAATGTTCAAAGTAAAGACAAAATTTTCAGTAGAAATGTGGAAATAAAAAACCTTCAATAAGAAATAGGAATATTTTTACTGACAATTATGCTAAGATCCTGGAAGTTTAGTCTAGTCTTCTCATCTGGGGTCAGCATACAATCTAACCATGGAACATGTGGTCCCCTCTTCCAGGGTGATGTAATTACATTGTTTTATAAGATTGTCCAGCCTGTTGTAGAAGACTGGACAGTTCCTGGCAGCTGAAGTGCTGTGTCCTGTAGTGTGATATAAGAATTGATATATTTTGAATGCAGAGTATTTTGGCTTTGTTATTTTAGTGAAAATTTTAAACTGTGTGGCAAGTAGATATATAACATGAAATTTCACTCTGTTGTTTTGTTATGTGCCTGCCTTTACATCTGAAAAAGAACTTTCATAGGAGCATTGAAGTCACTGTCTTGTCTACTTCTTATAGGATCAAGATTTAAGGGTCTTCTAAAAATATACCACCCTTTCCTTTTTGACATGGTTTTCTACTTCTGTTAAAAAATAAACTTTTAGCAATTCATGCTATAATTACACATACACACTGGTGTAAACCATTTGCCTACTATACTTTCTCTTTTTAAACATTATGTTAAAAGCACTGGATCTTCATGAGTAAAGTGAAATATGTTTAGTTGGATATGATAGAACTATTTTTCAAATATCACATGCCTTCCCAAAGAAAGCATGGGACTTTTTTCATAATTTGCTGTATATCTACCAGTAAATCAGTATTAAGGTCATTCACAAAATAGTCAAAGTAATGCAAGTTTTTCAGTTAAAGCTTATTTCAAAATATTGTGCAGATTTCTTTTGATTTCTCTTTTTACACATATGTAGTCTGTACCATTGCATGCTTTCTGCCATGTTAACTTTCTGTTTGCTGTTCAGGTAGAGAAATAACAGCAGAAACCTTTATGGAGAAATTGGATAATGGTGCCTTGCTTTGCCGGTTAGCTGAAACCCTGCAGGACAAATTAAAAGAAAACAGCTTTGATGCAAACAAGCCTGGCAAAGTAAGTGTTGATCAACACTCTAGCATTTAATATCTGTGTCTGATGTATCTGACCATTTTGGTCCTGAGGTTTTTTTTGGAGAGTTAAGAGATTTTATATGTAGAGATTCTGCAGATGGGTGGGGAGGCAATTGCTCTGTGTAGAAAAATGACAATATGAAATTGGGGAAATAAATTTTCTATTTATTAAAATATCTATGCAAAGCAGTTACTCAAAAAAGTACTTGTAATATATGGAGAATAAGAATAAACGAGATCTAGCAGTGGGATGTGGTAGGTAATAGCAAAAATATTTTGATCCTTGTATTTATATTTAAGGGGAATATTAAGTAACTGGTGTATTTTCCTCCAAAAACAGCTCTAGGGAGACCAGTAATAAAACTCTGTATTAGTTTTGGTGCCTTTGAGTTTCAAGATCGTGTTGGTGTACTGGAAGTACAGAGTTTTGGTAGAGTTGAAGGAATGATATGGAAAATGTGAAACTTAGAAGATACTTAGGAGTTTTCAGAGGATCAGTTTAAACACTTATTTGAACACAAACTTGCTTTAATTTGAAGTATTCTTTTGGGGCAATCTTACAGGGGAACATTCAAGAGTGCAGCAAGTTCATTTCTTGGAGAAGTAGAATTAAATGGTTGACACATTAACACATTCAATGTGAAACTGTTCTTACTTTTCTGGTTGCATTCAGGGACATCTTCCTTGAAAGCTAAAACAGGCAAATAAAGAGCAGGGAAAAAAGAGGCCAAAAATAGAAATCACATAATGCATCTTCTATTCTAATGTTTCATAACTTGTCTGTAACAGAAATTAGGGTATGGTATAAATTTTATCAGCTGGTCTGAGAACTGGCAGTCTAGTGTCAGTTGCACCTGTGTAAGTTGTTTTTTCTTGGTTCCAAGTTCATAATTGTTGTAGAAGAAATTGTCTGTCATAATTGCTGGTTGAAATTATGATCAAGTCTTTGTTAGTAGAAGTATTGTGTGACTTTGGAGTTCTTCTTTATAATATGGTCTGGCTTGTCTTCACCTAAGTGTGATGGTAGTTTTCAAGTGAGAAAACACATAGGGCAGTCTTTTTGATTGAGTCTAGGAACTACCTAGGCAGAAGGAAGGGTTTCTTGTACTGTCTTTTGTGTTCTAAGAGCATTAGAAGCTGATTAGATATTTGCAGTCCCATATGTGGTCATTATTTAGATTTGTTGGTCTTTGTCAGGCTGGTACAACTGAAAATGCATTTAAAGGGAAAAAAATCTATCTCACTGCTAGGTTCTCAATGTATGTTATTTCATACAGTACAGTAAGAATTCAAAGAAATGGCAGAATAATAGATTTTGAATCATTGTATACTATTAGGGAGCTATTAATCCTTTCAGATCTTAATTCAACTGTATAGCACTCTTGGGCAATAGGACTAGTCTTCATGGTGAAAAATCTGACAAGAATATTTATGAAGGGATAATATGGTAAGCATAGAAAGAATTCCACAATCCTCCCCTGAATCATTTTAATGCATTGTATTAATAAATGTGGAATCTATAAGCCATTTGACCCTTGTTCTGCACAGGAAAACAGAAACATATTCTTTCACTGAGGTGCCCTGATGACTTCACTGGCAACTCGGAGAAGCCACTGATTTCTCTTTAGTTCAGCCTCTGTCAAAATAGATACGAAACTTTTCTATCCATTTATGTAACTCCTAATTTTTTTAGATAGAAGCAGCTGATAAAATGAGCTAGAAGGATCAGTTTGCTTGCTGTACCAGCTTGCATCTGGGTGAGGAAGACACGAGAAGGATATGGTTAATGGAGGGAGTGTGTGTAATCTTACTATAAGGCCTTGCACAAGCTTGAAGATCTGATCTGTTTTCATAAACAAAGATTTTCCTTGTATGTGAACTTGTTCCTATGGAAAAGCTTTATATAATATTTTGGGTTTAATTTTCTCTTAAAGAAAGATGATATATCTTGCTCTCATTGATATGTACTACTGATCATGAATTTATTGTGCAGCTCTTTGGGGTTGTCTCACCACTGTCTGGGCAGTTTAGCAACTATAGCAACAGATTTAAGAAGGCATTAAAAGCTAATATTGCATGAACTGATTCATCAGTTTTTTTGTCATAATTCCCTAAATTCATATTACAATACTCTACAAAATACAGAAGTTAAATCATATTGCTTCTGGTTTAATAGCTTGTGCAATAAATTTGAAATCAATGTCAGTTTTGCAATTTGTTAGCTAAACTGTATCATTCCCTTTCTTATTAGTGAGCATTGAACTACTTTTGGATTTCAGAAATGCCCTAGGTCAGCATCAGCCTTTTTGAGTGTGGAGTAAATTGGGAAAACAGAGGTCAAAAAAGTTCCCAAAAATACTGTGTTTTCCAAATCTGGAAGGAAGATTATCATATTGATACCAACACTTCCTTTTTGTGTCATGTGGAAATACTTGTGGATACTGGGGACATTGTCAAAATACATAGGAGACTACTGGTAATGTGACTTGGGGATAGAGCTTTAAGAGACTGAAAAGGAGATTAAATGGTATGTGATGCAAAAGTAGTCTTTCCTTAAGAGTCAGAGGCAGGCAAAAAAGACATAACTTTTTATGCATAAAAGAGATAATGGAGTTGCTTTTTATGAGTGACTGGATAGATTAGGATGCTTGCATGTGGAAAGAGGGGCATGTGACAGAAATTGCAAAATCAGGAGTGGTGTGATAGAGGGTCACATACATTTTTCTATACAAAAACTGTGGGACATTTAATAAAGCTGGTGGAAGCCAAACAAGGGAAAGGAGGACCTTGTTTACATGCAAGTTGGAAAATTCTTGTCAAGGAATGTTTAAATTGACCTGCATTCAAGTAAATCTTGAATAAGATATTGGAAGAGAGATCTCTTGGAAGGCTGAATACACAGAAACACCACCCAGAAGAGGAAGCCCCTATAGCTGAAAATTATTAGAACTTGAGAGAGCATAAGAGTCGCTCATATGTTCTGTGTATTATTGTTTCTTGGGGATGAATACCCTGCTATTTGTGCTGGCGAACAAAGGGAAATCTATCACAAGAGTTAAACTTCAAAGAAATGATTTTAAATTAAATTTGTAGCTTTTGCTTCTGTATAAAGCCTTTTTAGGACTGAATCCCTGCATCTAAAAATACCACCTGGGCCACACTCCGTATTTGTTTTTCAGGAGAGTGATGTGAAACAGGAGTTTGGCAGCCTCTGGTGCCGTTTATGATGTCCCTGCATGTTGCTATTATGAGCTTAATGGCATAATAAGCACCTTTGGATATCATAATAGGTACTCTGTCTTCTGTGACTCTAGCTACTTTGCAGTTTGATTGGTTAATCATTCAGTTACAAAAGCATTTCAGTTTCTAAAGAGGAAGCATTTAAAAATTGATTATTTCAGAAGATGTTAGGTACTAGGATTCTTTTGCAAGTCCCAGAAGACAATGTTCTTCACTGTTAAGCAGCTAAACCATGCTTCAAAACCTGATTATTCTGAAAGCATTGATGATGTATCTGATCCTTTGCTACAAACAGACAAAATGTTTGAGTTTTAGATGAAAATGGATTTTTTAAACAGGGAGGGCAGTGTGACTATATAATGTATTTTTTAAGAAGTAATTTTTTCCTCTTTCTGGAGATTTTTAAGAGTTATAAATCTAACAATGCACATTTATAAAATGACAAGGAAATGACTGCTATCAATCGTAATAAATGCTCAGGATTTGTATGGTAGTAAGTTGTTGAAACTACCTGTGCTGCTGCTAATGGAGTACTGTCTTGAAATTACAGACTCATTATTTTAGCAGCAGTTGTTCCATAAAAGTAATTAATGTTGCACAACGCCATTTTGTAATTTTCTCCCATTGATATTTCTTTTCCACAGTTTCCTGTCAGTGTTTTACTTTTGCTGACAGATAGTTAATTTGAGAATTTCACAGCTGTACAAACAAATGCAGAGCATCAAGACATGTGCAGCATGCACAGAGCCCACATTTGATTTGGTTTGGCTTAATCTAGTAAGATCATTAATAAAGATTTTTAAATAAGCATAAATAAATTGTGTTTATTGTTATTACCATTTTTGTCAGCAGGGCATAGTAATCTGCCCACCATCCTTGAAGCTGCCAATGTATTTACAAACACTCCATTTAAAACAATGTCTTCATGAAGAAGGTTTGAAGGTGAATTATCTTTGAGAGTCATGTTACATATTTTAAGAGTTACAATTAAAAGACTCTACTAAGAACTAATTCAGAATTAGATCTGGAATCTGGATCTTGCTTTCAGACCCAAGATGGCCAAGCTGAAAGTCTGATCTAATTAACATGGTGGTTTTATTTATGCTGTAGGCTTCTCAAGTTTATCTGTATCCTACAGATGGGATGAATGTATAGTGCTCTGTAAACTTGTTGCCTTGAACCTGTCTGCAGTGTAAAAAGGCGTCAGCTGCATCAGAGCCATGTGTAAGTTATAAATCTGACTCTCCAGTCGAGAATTTCATGACTAGGGCCGCATGAATTGTTAGGTTATGAATAGATCCTTTGTGGTCTGGAGCTCCGATTTGCTTTATCGCGCACTTGTACTTTCTAGACTTTTATTTTGCAATAAAAGCTCATGGAACCAATTTCTAATAATATACATTATAGATATGGCTCTTGGTTACTTGGGAGGATTAAAAAATTAAAAAACAGCATTGTCTTTTTTGTCTTTTTCTGTATTAATCTTTCTAGTGGCAGATTAATGTGGATGTGAGAGGAAAAGAATGATCTTGCAAAATGATTCACAAGTACTAATCCATCTAGAAGGAATAATTTCCACAAGATTGTAAAGCTGCTTGTTAGAAAACTCTTTGTATGTTTGTCAAACATATCAATAGCGTGCTTGTTCAACTGGGTTGCTGCCAGGTTTCTTGCAAATATTGTAGGATTTCTCTGCAATAGGTCACATGTGCAAACCTATATGCCTCAACAAATACTCCTACA